TGGGCTGAATGTCATATTTGGGCCTAGTGCCAACTACTTGAACCCTTCAGGGATTTTTATTGATATTTCCTCACTATTTTTGACTTTATACATGAACTCAATCGTGTTATTTTCCACTGTTTTACTACTCAACCATGTTTACTCAGTTTTAATACTTAAATGATATTTTAAATGATGTTTGGGCTAAGAAACACTGTTTTATCATTTCTCAAGGGGCTTGTGAGGATTTTTGACTGAGTAAGGCCGAAGGCCTATGTTGTGAGGAAACACTGATACTGATTTGAGGCCGAGGGCCTGAGATATGTACGTTACGAGGTGGCTTGATTGATATGAGGCCAATGGCCTAGTTTGATTCCACGAGATGGCTTGTGATAGCGCTTGGGCCGTAAGGGGCCCCTCCAGGAGTCTGCATAAGCCTAGTGAGCACGGATACCCATTGTGATGTGAGATTGAGCCCGAGAGGCTGGTATAGTTTTGAGATGTTGCCCGAGGGGTGAATTTGTTGATATTGTGCCCGAGGGGCGAACTTCTATTTGTTTACTTTACCTTAATTACCTGTCAATTACTTGTTTACTTGTTGAAAGAGGATTTTACTTGACTTTTCACTGTCTTATTGCTTTTAAATGGTTTTACTGCTTCATTATAGAATGTCTTGTGCCTTACGTGTTTTCTTACTTTCAGTCATTATTTACCTTTGTTACTCACTGAGTTGGAATACTCACTTTACTCGCTGCACCCCTGTGTGCAGATTCAGGCGTAGCTGGTTCCGCTCCCGAGTGCCGATTCCTCCAGCTTCAGGCGGGCTTTCGGAGATTACGAGGTAGTTGTTGACGTCCGCAGCCCCGTGTCTCTACTCCTTTATCATCTCTATCTCTTTTTAGACATCTGTACTAGCTTATAGACTTAGCAGACTTGTATTATGACTTATAGATGCTCATGACTAGGGACACCCCGGTTAGGGCTGTGCATGGGTGTTCTTCCGCATATTTATGTTATCATTGTTATTTCGGATATATTTTATCATGATTATACCATTTCTTAAATGCTTAACTGTTAATATTTGAAAAATGAGAAGTGTCGGTTGGCCTTATCTTCACGAGATGCGCCATCACAACCGAGTCCGGGTTTGGGTCGTGACAATAACTCATTTAGAATGTGTTTTGTCTCTACTATTTCTTTACTTTTGCTTCAAGTTAGCACTTTTATCAATCTTAGACTTAATACTATATTAGGAATTTTGGCAACTAAAAAATAATTCCATTTATATGATGAATTTAGGAAAATTGAGTCAGTTTATTTGTCTAATAATAAGTTACTTAAAAAATTTACTAATTTGTTATTAAAGGATATAATTTATATTTTATTATTCAAATATTAATATAAACTCGTCCTTAGTTTTAAATATTTAACTGTAATAATAAATTTATGTATTTATGTACTAAGCATTATATTCTACAGCTTCATTTGTATTATTGACTTTTAGCAACCATGTTTTGTTTTGTCTCTTTAATATATTTTTAAATACTTCCTTGTTTACTTATAGTTTTTTCCTTAGTCTTGCTTTTCAACTAAGATAATTAATTATATAGAATTAATTGTTTAAAATTCTATGATAAGGAATAATTCAAATAAAGAGTTGGTCTTCAAAATATTAGTTAATGTTGTTCTAAAAATTTGATTCGTTAAACAAAGAGAGATGTAATCTTCAAAGTTTTAGTTAATGTCAAAGTTGTAAATATTACAAAAAAAAAAAAAAAAAAAAAAAAAAAAAAACAATTAAGCCAATCAAATTTCAAAAGGGTAACTTTTTTTTAACTTTCAATGAATATGACTATAAATAAAAGAAAAAACCATCCGAGTAGTGTACATGAAGGTAAAATTTTGCATACGTTTTAAAATCCAAGATTTTGTATACAATTTTATATCCACGCCGTCTTTGATAGTTTGACATGCTTTTATCAATTTATGTCAATTCTTTTAAAAACTTTAATTACTGGCCAATTGCATTTAATAGTTCAAATAATAAAAGGTTATATATAAGGCAAATTTCAATTGATTTTAAAGCCCCTAAATATTAGTACTTCCTATATATTAGTTCAAATAAAGAAAGATTTAGTAACCAAAATTTTAGCTGATTTCAAATTCCTAAATATTAGGTAAATAATTTAATTACGATTTTGTCTAATATGAAGTCTATTTTTAAAGGGTAGAAAAGGCGAACGACATTTCGCTAAGGGGCTTCTTGCTTTTAATATATATATATATATATATGGTAGAAGTGTGTGTGTTTCTGGACATGTGCGACACACGCAAAGGCGGAGCCAGAATTTAAACTTTATGCGTTTGGAATTGTAATCATTCTAAGTAACTGGGTTCTAAATTAATAAATTGTACATATTCAATGAATTTTTTAAGACAACTACATGATTTGAACAAAAGTTAATGGTTTGGGCGAACCGCATCTCGCACTCTACCTCCACCCCGGTCACACGTGTCATTCAGTACAGACTTCTTAAGACGGTATATATAATCTAAAATTGCAGTATAATCAATAGCAATAAATTTGAAGGGAAAAACTAATTACAAGCTTAAAGTGAAGAACAAACAGCTTGTTCAACTGACGTGACTACTATATGCTAAATAACTAGATATCGTCTTAGCGTGAAAAAATGAACAACCAAATTCACTTAGGTAGATAAGATGTGTAACGAACTAACTTTTTGCGTTATTAGGAAATATTCATTGAAAGCGCAAGAAAATCAGAAATTTGGCAGCAGTCATTCAGAATATGAATTTATCCCCCTATAATCTTTACTATTTTATGAATAAATTTCAGATACCTATGTAAATCTCAAATTTTTTGAAGAGAGTAGTAATACAACTGTTATGGTTTCGTGTAATTTCTTTTTAAACACTTTAACATTCAAGTTCTCGAAGAAAGGAAAGAAAAACACTGTAAATGTTTCCTGCCTAATAGTATTCTCTTTGTGAAACTTTTGTAACTTTGATTTTCGCATTTCTTCCACCTAATAAAATTGTGAAGAAAAGGATAGAATATAATTGCTATAGGTTAATTTAATGGCCATATAAAGAAAATTCAGTACCCCATAAAAATATGTAAGATGGAGTAACTCTTTTCTAAACCTTACTGGAATTTGGGTGGAGACTTGATGGCTCAGTAATTGGATTCTGCACTCCTGCTTTTGGGAATGCAGAAGCTGGCAGTATCTTTGCTCCGATGCTTATTTTGATCCAAAAATATCAACCACGATAACAAAAAGTATCATTCCAAAATTTGATTAGAGCTTTGAAATGGAGCCTTGGAATAATGGTAAAGATCAGTCACGAGTTCGAGCACTAGAAGCAGCCACTAATACTTGTATTAGAGTAGGTTATCTACATCATACCCCTTAGGATGTGGCCCTTCCCTGAACCCTGCATGAACACAAGATGCCTACCTCTCGGAGAAATCAGAGCCAAAGCTGGTCCTTTTCCTTTTTTTCTTTTGTCTTGGACACGTTAATTACTATCCATTCTCAATGGAAAAGTTAACCGAGGGACCTTTGCGTACTGTTTTAACTTTGAGAGATGTATTTTGTTGAGATGAATATTGTTGAGACGATTCTAAATCTCATGTCAATTCAAAGTGATATTTAAGTTTTTTATTTCGAGGGATCAAATTTATTTCCCAAAAAAATATAAAAGGCAAAGAAAATTGACAGAATGTAATAGTTCATGAAAACATGTCAACTCACTTGTGAATGAGTCATGACGTCCAAGTTGCTTATGTTGTTCAACTTTTACTCTTTTCGAACAATAAGAGAATCTTGTCCTTGTCAATTTTAGACTCTTTAAGGTGTCAACTTTTATTATTCTCTTTATTCCCTTGCATAGTACTTGAAAGTAATAGCCGCAAATTCAGTATTGTTTGTGTTGAAAATTTCTTATAGCGGGCATCGGAACAGATAGAAAAAATACTTGGCCTTAAGTTTTTTTGTAATTTTAAACCAGAAATGGCATAAATGTAGGACCTGGAAAAGGTCAATTTCTGATAGACAATATCGATCAGCTCCTATGTTACATAGCACGTATCTTAAGTGGCAACCATCACATTCACAATGTGCTTGTATCATGTCTTATAGTGTATATTTTCCTCTGTTTCAATAATTTATTTAAAGGCGAATGACACACTTTTATATTTACAAACTCTTTTCTTTTGAACTTTTCGTTCTACCCCCAATAACATTCTCTTTTAACCACGGAAACATTATAACATATTTAAAATCATAAGTTCTAGGTATCTGTTTTTTCTTAAACTTCATATTCAATATATATATATTATGTAAAATGAAAGTGAGGATTATCTATAGAGGAATTTCCTCTATATATGGACCGTAATGAAAGGAACGAATCACAAATAGGATTTAGCTTTTCTGAAACAAAGGAAAAGTCAAAAGGGTTTGTTGTAAATGCTCTAAAATATTCATGTATCCTAAACTATTCCCAAGAATGCAAGTGTGCGACGATAACTCGTGGTTGTAATCATTTTTACACATAGTAGTCATTGCGATTATAGCATTTAATTTGTATTTGGAGGGTACAGATGCCTTCGAAACTATTACTGATAGCTGTATTATTGGAAAACAGCTCTAAACACACTAACAATTACTTCCAATTGCTATATGGACGATGCAGTTTCTATCATGGAAAGGAAGAGTTCGTAATCACCCTTTCATGACTCTCAAAGAAGTTTAGTGATTTTCACTCACTTAACTTTTACAATAACGTGGTCCCCCGCTTATTTTGATTTTATTTATATAATGAATTGCTTGGTGATGGTTTGAATCTGATGCTTGCCTTATTACTTTTGTGAAATGAAAATTTATGTTTGCTGTGAATCTGATGCCTTTCTTGCCCTTTCCTCTTCTTTCATGTGTTTCTGTTCTTGAAATGTCTATTTGAAGCCTTTCGCTTTGCCTTTACTTTTCTTGGACTATAAATAAGTGTAATGCATTTGAGTTATTTCATTGTGGAAGCATTTTTGGAGAGTTCAGCTTTTCACAAGTACTAATAATCTTTTGAGAGTTTTAACCATACTATCCATCAATGGCAAGCCAACAACAACCTCGTCCATTGTTCCGTTTCGCCTCTATGGTTCGTCCTGCTGCAGCTGCACAACCTTCAGCTCCAGCTCCACCACCCGCCCCAGCCCCACAACCATTGTTCCGGACTACGACTACCACCCCATTTAGGCCTCCGGCATCAGCAACTACTACTGCTGCTACAGCAACTGTTGCTACTGCTCAGCCAACTCAACCTCAAGAATCTAGACCACAAACACCAGCTACTGCTTCTGCTCCTCCTTCTGCCGCCCCTGCACCACTACCGCCAGCACCTCCTCAGCCACAACCACAACCAGCAATGTCGGTCCCGCGTAGCCCGATTTCAGCACCACAGCCTCAGCCAGTGCCTGCAGCTTCCCCACGTTCCACTCCAGCAACTCCACCGCCAAGATCACCTGTTGCTCCTCCTCCACCTGTTGTTTCGCCACCAAAGGCTCCTTCACCACGTTCTCCGGTGGCAGCACAGCCACAACGTGCCCCCATCGATGTACCTAAATCTCCTGTCATTAAAGCCACCACGTCAGTGCCACAATCCCCATTCAAGACATTAGCTTCTAATGTGATAACAGAAAGCGCTCCGCTTGGTCGGTTTAGTAGTCCGTATTCTTCACCACTACCATCTCCAAACACAAAAATGGCAGATTCTACCCAAACTCTCATCAATCATTCATCACCATCAAAAGCTCCAACACCATCTCAAAAAGTAATCCAGCCTAATTTAGTGAAAACCCAGACCTACTCTCCTCAAATNACTCTCCTCAAACTAAGCCTGCAATTTCTCACCCTCCATCCCCACTAAAGCTTCCCCCTCCTCAACTTGAACTTGAGTCCAAGATTCCTCCACATGTTGATCAGAAAAGTGTTGTGGTCCAAGAAACCACGAGGGCTAGCATGAATGGTAATCATGTCCCGCAGACTACTAGAAATGGAAAAAATGTAGAAAATGGGAAACGGGAATTGGTTAAAAAAGATAAAGGGGTTCAGCAGAAGAAGGTGTCGAACTATGATACAGGAGATGACTTTGGAATGAGTGTTCTAACACTAGCTGGTGAAAACAAGGGAGCTATAATGGAGTTAAGCCCTTCAAGGAAGACATACAGCCCTCAGAGCCATCAAAAGCAAGGAAGCCCAAAGGCGTGGAGTAGCAGTGAGGATGATGGAGAAAAATCAGGGAGCGAAAGTGGAAGGAAAAGAGAGAATAAAACGCCAAATAAGTCCCTTCCTATGACTGCATTCATGAACAGTAATGTGCAGGGTGTCAACAACTCCATTCTCCACAATGCTTCTTGCACTCACCATGATCCTGGTGTCCACCTTGTTTTTGCAAGAAAGACCAATGGTAGGCATGGGTTCCACATTAAGGGCAGTCCAAAGAGCTAAAATATGTTTAAAAGACAGTCAAACACTCAGAGTCTTTTTCATGGAGGGTCCTTTTTTTCTATTGGTATTTTGAAAGAATAAATTGAGTGGTACGAAAAAGGGCATGGATTCTGATTCTTCATGCATGGCTGCAACCCACTTCTCATGCACGAGAATCATCCTTGCCTTTGGAAGGACAGAGAGAATCTATGCACAATGCCACTACATGCAATAAACCTTTCTTATGTATTGAGCATTATTATTGTTCTATGTAATTTGTAACTCCAATATACAGAGAATTCCCCATCTCTTTATTAATTTGGATATATTTAGTAAATATTGAATACCAGCTTTTAAGATAACAAACAATGGGAACTGGATGAATAATACTAACAGGCTGTATTACCTTGTAAATGAATGTTACAGGGAATAGATGACCATCCCTTTTTTAAATTTCGCATGTGAAGATGGATTTCAGGTAGAATGTGTACACACGCTTATTTTCTGCTCATGCATTTATTTTCACATATTCCTATCGTATTTGGTATACTGAAAAAGCATAGCAACTACTACATATCAAGAGAATCTGTTTTTTGGTTCGTAATTTGGGACCATTAGATATACAATTAAACATGAAGATCATTGAAGTCCGTCACTTTATGGTCAAATGTTCATGTATGATTTTGTAACTTTAGTTTTTAATTAGACTGAAATGAATAATAACACATTCAAACACTTGCATATGAATATCTATTTATTTGCTTTTGAGCTTAGTAAATCCAAAAGGGGATTTCTAAAAAAAGAACTACCAACTAGAAAGCGTTTTGTGTAACTAAAGGCCAGTAATTAGCAGGTCTAAGCAATAGGTATATAATTGTAAACAAAGCAAGAAAATAGGACGCAAATAACCAATTGCTGAAGAAGACGAAGAGTCCAATTATTACCTGCAAAATCATTTGTCTAAGGATAGAGGCGCTGGATTGAACAAATTGTCAAATCGCAAGTGGAAATTGCTAAGGCGTTCTGAGATACTACATTCATAGATACACGACGTTAATTCTTAGGGTTTAGTAACGATCGATTGTATCCATATAACGCCTCTCCCATCTTCTGGCTGCAAGGAAATTATTCCGGCAAGGACCTGCAGTGTCTGAAACTTCATCTTCGTTCTAAGGAGAAGAGGTTAAATAAGGAGTGAAAAAGGGAAGTTGAAGGGTGGTGTTAATGGCGCACGGCCGAAAAGGGAATGGAGAAAACGGTGACCGGCCGACAATTGATTTTGGGGCTGTTTGGTTTATCGATTTTGGGTTTGGGTTGCTGCAATGAAGGGATCTTTTTCTTATATATAACTATTATTTATCATTTTCTTCATAGTTTTTCAGTTTTTAATAAATACCTTAATTTTTTAAACTATTTATATACAATACCTCCAAAACTCTAACTCCATTATTAATGCCTTTAATTAAAATATTCAGTTATCTCTTTTTCTTTTTTTCTCTCCTCTTCTCTCTCCCTTTTTTTCTATTCAAATTTAACTGCCAATTCACATAGCTTTTTACTTAATGGTACGACGAAAATTATACATAATCTTTGGCACTCATCAACATACATAAGGTAACCGTACTACATTTGATTAATGAGAAACATAAGCAGTTGATTAATTTAATTTAATATGGCTGCTAAACATTAAATTTAAAAGCTTCGAATCTTTGAATTCGATAATCGAATTTTATGATTTTGTGATTTGATTGGATTGGGTGTTCTTACAAGTGATTGAAAATATCCTTTGAAATTTATATCTCAATTTTGAGGGAAATTTATTAAGTATAGAGTTGGTTTTAGGTGAAAAATATCGAGTTGCATAAATTGAATCATAATTGTATCAAATTGTATTGGAATTGTATCTGATACATTAATACCTAAACATAATTGTATCATAAATGTATCATACTTATATCATAATTGTAACTAAATTATATCTGATACATTAATACTTAAAACAATACTTGGTACAATACTAATACAATTACCATACAATTATGACACAAACTGCAATACACTTTCGAAAAATTGTAATACAATAGTGATGTATCAGATACAAGAAACATACAATTTTGATACAATTGTGATACATTTATCATATAATTCCTGCAACTTCGTTTTCTTCGAGTTTCAATATGAAATTTTACCTAAAATCAACTCTAAACTTAATCACACTCTCTCAAAATTAATATATAAACTACAAGTTATATTCTCCATCATTTACAAGAACACCCAATCCAAAACAAATCATAGATTCATATATTTTGAATATTGAATTCAAAGTTTTGAAGCTTTTTAATGGATGTCAATGGAGAACCCTTTGCTGCTGCAATTTTAAAGACAAAATTGTGCCATTTTTGTTTTCATTGTGAGAAAAGTACTGAATTTGGATAATAAGTACGGGGGGAGAGAAAATGATGTGAAATCTTTTAAAAAATAGATGAAATTCAAATTTTAAGGAGGAGATTGGTGAATGAGAGAGAATGAGAAGCTAAATTTAAAGAATCTTCTATTTTTTTTCTTTTTTATGATTTTTGTACATAAATGGTAAATATAGGTGTAGAATGTAAGTAAGTACGAACCTAAATAAAAGTGGTAAATAAGCTTCTATTATAGTATAACTATGTAAATTTCTCTGTTACGAAAAGCCTGAGTACAGAGAATTACGAAATGGGCTAAGGTTTGCTAGGATAAGATGCTTGACACAAAGGAGCTTTTTGAGGGTGGTTTTAGCGGAATGTCCTCAAAATTTATGGTATTTAATAAATAACTTCGGACTCGCATAAGATCTTCAAAGTTTCTCTATCAGATTAAATTATTGATTGAAGTCTACCAGGTTGTCATACTTTTTTCTGGGTTATTTTAACAAAGTATTCTTCACATACAACTTCAATTTTGATCAAACCACCCAAATTTGCTCCAAATGTCTCAAATTTGAAACAAAGCTTCCAAATGCCAACACAAACAATTCTCAATCGCCAATTTAGTCAAATAACATCAAATCAAAAGGACCAATTTTGTCTTATTCAACACTTTCTAAGGTCCAACAATGAGTTTTGAGATTTTTATAGTAAATCACCAAAATCTGAGTCTGAATTAAAAGTCTAAGCACAAATTATAAACAATCAAATGATTTTAACAATAAATCGATCATTAAACTTTATTTTCTACCATCCAACAAGAATTTAAGCTTTAAAAATTAAAGAACTATGGTGTTCAAGTAAAAAAAAAGGATATTTTGCTATGACCATAAAAAATGGAGACATTTCGCCAAGACCATCTCCTTTGGGGGCCACGCCAAGCTAATTTCTGGCTAGGATAAGCACGCTATTGAAAAATAATACAATACAAGGGGAAACTATAGGGATCTTTGCACGAATAGCCGNATATATATATATATTATACATAAATTATACATATATTATACCACTACTAGAAAAATGCTAAATTCCACCGAAATTTCTGACTGAATTTTTTTTGTCGGAAATTTCCGACGGAATCCGTCGAAATTTTTAAAAAATATTTCCTTTATATTTTTAAAATTTTTTCGACCATATTTCCAACCAAATCGGTCGCAACTGTTGGCGAAAAATTTATTTTGATTGGTTTGACTTCATTTCCAACCGATTTGTTTGGTAGTTTTTTAATAAAAAATTTAAAATAATAATTCCAACCGAATTGGTTGGAATTCTTTTTTAAAAACCCTACAGCCCCTCCCCAAAAAATATAAGCTTGATTTTCTTCTCTCATCTCTCCCTCTCGCCCGCAAGCTCCCCTCTTCATCTCGTCCTTCTCCCCGTACCCAAGCTTGTATGTTTGCTCTCTCTCATTTCCTCCTCCGTAATCACTCTCCTTCCTCCTCCCTTTTCCCCTTAATTTATTAAATTTTTTTGTAATATGTTTTGCAGCAGTGGTTAGTGGCGACGGTGACAACAACTCCTCAGTCGACTTCTCCGGCATTTTTTCTATCGAGGTAAGTATTTCGTTGACATATATATCTTGTTTTCATTGTTAACTTTATAATAATTTTCTATATATGAACATCCTAGCTAGTTGAAGTAGTTATGGTTGAAATTTTAGGGATTTTAGTTTTTTAATGATATTTAATATAAAACAAAAAGAGAGAAGAATATGTTGAATTAGGTATGGTTGAAATTTTGGGTTAAACAAAAATATGTTAAGAATGCATGTCCACTCATAAGCCCAAATTTAAATTTTATGTTAAACAAGTGACTTGCTAAGTTTATAAGCTAATTAAACTAGCTTAATCCTATCATAAAGGTTAGAAAATTATTTAATCCTACAACTTCACAAGACAAATAATGATTTGTTTAAAGTTAAAAAAATGACTGATGAAGATTAATTTTCCAAAAGTTATAATCAAAGAAACATATGAAATAATATAGTAATATTTTTATATTCACTTTTTAGAATGATATTAAATTTAAAATTTTTCAATTTCAAGATTAAGATTAATTTTAAATTGAGAAATCATTAGTTAATTTGGATTATATGAACATTTAAGAAGCTATCCAAATTTAATTATTATATTTAAAGACTTATATTATTTATAATAGAGATTAATGTGAGATTTCGAGTATTAAAAAAATATTAATTTAAAAAAAAATATATCAATTAAAGTGCTTTGACACAATGATATGTATATATCTAAAACGAACCTTTGAAAAAGTATAACTTTGAAACAGTTTAAATAAATCAATTTTTTTTAAATATCTCATTTCTAGATTTCTATTTATGTAGATGGAATTTATGCATCGTAGATGGATGTATAATAGGAATCATCCTAATCGTGCGGGGTTGAGGGATGAATTTATTAAAGGGGCTGCTGAATTTATTAATAAGGCTCAAACACTTGATGATTTTCTTATTGGAGGAAAGATTAGGTGTCTTTGTGCGAAATAAAAATGTGTTAAGTTATTGAAATCAAACAAAGTTAAAGTTCATCTCTACAAGAAAGGTTTTGCAGAAAATATAACGACCCGACCGGTTGTTTTGCTTTTTAGAATTTCATTCCCCTAAATAAGACTTATTGTTCTTGGTTTTACTGATTTATGACTTGCGGGGATGGTTGGTTCGGAATTTGGAAGAGTTCGGGTTGAAATCGGAACACTTGGTTCCTTAAGTTGGCCTAAAAGGGATAAGTTTGACTTTGGTCAATATTTTGAGTAAACGACCTCAGAATCAGGATTTGATGGTTCCAATAGGTTCGTATGATGATTTCGGACTTGGGCAAATATTCGAATCGGGTTTTGGATGATCCGGGAGCATTTTGGCGCCAAATAGTGAAAGTTGGTTCTTGAAGGTTTTAGAAGTTCTTTAATTTTGGTTTGGATGACTATCGAGGTCCAAATAGAATTCCGAGACTGGTAATAGTTCTGTAATGTCATTTAAGACTTGCACGCAAAATTTTGTATCATTCCGAATAGTCTAAGTATGGTACGGCGCATTTGGAGCGATTAGGAAACTTGAAGTTCAAAGTTTGATTCAATTTGATTTTGGGGTGTGATTCTTGGTTTCTTTGTTGATTTTTGCATTTCGAGAGTTCGAGCAGGTCTGTATCATGTTTACAAACTTGTTGGGTCCTTTGGACAGGATCCCGAGTGGCTCGGGTGAGTTTCGGACTCCTCAGAGCAAAGTATAGAAAACTAGAAAATCCCAGTTCTGGTTTCCTTCTTCGCGAATGTGAAGGGACCATCGTGTTCGCGTAGAAGGGATTGGGACTAAGGGGAAATTATGCCATGAGTTTGCGATAGCTAGTCCGCATTCGCGAAGGTTTGGGGCCGGTGACCTTCGTGTTCGCGTGAGGCGACTCACATTCCCGTAGAGGAGCCTGGGCTGGGCCGCTGACTTGTTCTTCGCATTCGGGAAGGATAGGCCAAGCCAGCCTCCGCGTTCGCGAGGCCTTAGTCGTGTTTGCGATGTAGTGTCTCCAGGGGACCTGGGCTGTTTGCCTTCACGAACGCGAGACCCCTTCCGCATTCGCGATGAAGGAGGCAGCTGGGCAGTGAGGTTTTTTAAACGGGACTTAGGCATTTATGGGGTCTTTTATTTCAGTTTTGGGAAATTTGAGAGCTCTTAAGGAGGGAACTTCGACTTAGCTTTGTAAGATAAGTAATTTCTACCTAATGTGAGTGTAATACATAGGTTATGGGTAGATTATGACATGTAAATTAGTGAAAATTATGGGTTTAGATGAAAACCTAGGATTTTGATAAAAATGAGATTTTACCACGAAAATGGTTATGGAACTTAGTGAAAATCATATATT